CTAATTTTTTTGATTTATTGTAGAGATGAGGTCTCACCAAGTTGCCCGGGCTGGTCTCGAACCTGCGGGCTCAGGCAATCCACTTGCCTCGGCCAATGAGCCATCTTTTCAAGGTGACTCAAATGATGTCACACTCTTGTGGTAGACCCTACTTTGGCTTTTAATTGCAGTTAATACACAATCCACACGCCGTACCATGACCACCAACAGTCTCCGATGTTATCTTATGTCACTCCACTTAGCTACTCTCCTGCTCACCCACTGCTCTGTCAGGCTTGCTTTTGCTTCAGGGATCTCACACGTGCTGTTCCTCATCCTTCTAGAGCAGGTTCCCCTCATCTTCACCCTGCAGTCTCCTTAAAGCCAAAAGCTAAAAGTGTACCTCTGTAAAGCTAAAGTAGCCACGCACATGGCTCTTCTCGCTACCTATTTTATTTACTTCAGAGTCTTTATTGCTGTTTGAAATTGTTCACATGCTAATTTTATTTTCCCCAACTGGAATGGCAACTCTGTTAGCAAGAACTGCCATGTCCCTGGCCTCACGTGAGCACTCAGGATGTGAGCGATTAGAAAGGCTGTTTGGAACTTGCTGCTCAGTGTGGTCCCGGGACCAGCAGCATCTACCTGTCAGAAATGCAGAATCTCAGCCTCTCTCAGACCTGTGAATACCAGTCTGCATTTAATGAGATCCTCGGTGATTCATATGCACAGGAGTCCACAAGCACTGCTTGTAGAGCAAGGGCTTCAACTCTGGCTGCACATTAGAATTGCCCAGAGAGAGCTTTACAAATACTGAGATTCTCCAGGCATCTGGAATCTCAAAAGGTCCCTGCAGGCCGGGCGCGGTGGCTCACGCCTATAATCCCAGCATTTTGGCAGGCTGAGGTGAGAGGATTGATTGCCTGCGCTCACAGGTGTGAGACCAGCCTGGACAACTTGGCGAGACCTCATCTCTACAATAAATCAAAAGATTAGCCAGGCATGGTGGCACGTGCCTGTAATTCCAGCTACGTGGAAGACTGAGGTGGAAGGATCACCTGAGACCAGCAGGTCGAGGCTGCAGTGGCCATGAGAGTGCCACTGCACTCCAGCCTGGGTGACAGAGTGAGACTCCAACTCAAAAAGAAAAAAAGAAAGTCCCCGCAGCTCAAGTGTAGAGGCACTGCTTTAAGAACGGGCGCTGTCCAAGTGCAGTAGCCCCAGCCACATGCAGCCGCTTTAAATCGAATTCAGCTCATTCAGTTGCTACCACATCTCAATACTCAATAGCCACGTGTGGGCAGGGGTTACTTTCTTGGACAGTGAGGATATAGAATATTTCCATCACGCCAGAAAGTTCTACTGGACAATGCTGCTTAAGGGGCAAAGAACTGAAAGACTGTTCCATTTTTGGTTAAGTCAGGAGAGCATCTTTGGAGGCAAGCGCTATATAGCTCGGAAGCCGGGCCAACTCTGGCTCCTTAGAACAAGATAACCGAACTGCCGGCTTTAGCTGAGCTCCACCAGCAGGTGGCGCCCGTGCCTCCTACACGGCAGGAGCAGGAGCCCAGCTTTGGCCGCGAGAGCCCCGGCAGGCACTGTGCATGCATCGTTTGACCTTCACGAGCTCTTTATAATATTTTCATTACCCCCAACTTTGAGCTGGGTAGACTGAGGCTTAGGAAGGCTAATAAAGTCACCCAAGGCTAATAAACACACAGCCACTGCAGGTAGGGATGTTTAAGGTTCAGTACGAGCCGGTTTGGTATTTATAGACTGGTTGGGTTCTCTAATTTTCACCCGTAGCAAAACTCAGAGTATGTTTCCCCAGAGAAATAAAGCGACTCTTTGGAACTTACACTGTCAATAGATGAGCAGTTGAGTAGAAGTACTTGTACCGTTTTTTTTTCTCCACAAGAGAAGGGGATTTAACAGAAACTAGCTTGTGAGATAGACAGGGTTATTCTCCATAGCCGCCATCTACCAGCTGGATTCTGCCAAGTCCTGGGGTTCCCTGGAAGCATTGGTAGTGTGGAACCAGGGAACTGACAAGGCACAGCTCTAGGGTCCGCACATCAACCACGACGCCCTTTATGGTCTGAGGTTCCTTGTAAAAAAAATTCATCTGAGCCCACTGGGCAGCAGCAAAATGACAGATCGGGATCACATGACAGATGCGCCTCGACTTATCACGGGACTGTGTTCAACTTACCACAGGGCTGTGTTCTGATAAACCCATCAGAAGTTGAAAATATCATAACCTGATACTACACTGATTACCCCCTGCCCACTGAACATCATAGCCTGGCCTGCTCTGCCTTACACGTGCCCAGAACACTTGCAGTAGCCTACAGCAGGGCAGAGTCGTCTAACACAAAGCCTATGTTGTCATAAAGTTCTGACTCTCATGTCATTTATTGAAGACTGAAAGTGAAAAGCAGAAGTGCCATCTGGGTACTCCAAGTGCCATTTCTGCTGGATGCACATTGCTTTCACACCATCGTAACTTCGAAAAATTAAGTCAAATTCTCCGAAGTTGGGGACTGCCCGTAGTTTGAAAAGTATGCCCGTTAAGACTTCAGACAAAGGGGAAAAGCCAGCTTCATCTATCTTCCCCACCCTGCCTCGCTGATGCCCATTATCGGTGCAACCAGGAAGGAAAGCTCAGCACATTTTCCAGCCTCTTTAGGTGCATTTCTCACAAAACAAAAACAGGCAATCTAGCTTATTATATGTTTTTTTTTTTTAGTTGGAATCTCAGTCTGTCGCCCAGGCTGGAGTGCAGTGGCATGCTCACGGCCACGGCAGCCTCGAGCTGGAGTCAGGCGATCCTTCTGCCTCAGCCTTCCAAGTAGCTGGAACTACAGGTGCGTGCTACCCCACCCAACTCATTTTTTGATTTATTGTAGAGACGAGGGTCTTACCAAGTTGCCCAGGCTGGTCTCATACCACTGACCTCAGGCAATCCTCTCACCTCAGCCTCCCAAAGTGCTGGGATTATCAGCGTCAGTCATTGCACCTGGCCTTACATTCTTAATTTTATCATCTTTTGAAGTCAGGACCAAAAACCCTGCCATTCATCACCACCATCATTTCATACAGGAACATTTCTTTTTTTTTTGAGAAACCAGGATTTATTGAGAGAACAGAAAAGCTCCCACCGTGGGAGGGGACCCGAAGGGGTTGCCCACATTTTTTTTCTTTATTTCGATAGCTTTAGGGGGCACAAATAGTTTTTAATCTGGGTTTTAAGCATTCTCATGACCCCTAAAGGAACATTTTAATGTAAAAAAAGAATACAAGGTAGAGCTTTATGTAAAACCGTTTTCGCTTTCCCTCCACTGGTGGAAATTTCTCATGAGTGAGCACCGGAACATGCACTGATCTGGCCCAGCCTCCACGTTAAAGGCCCCGAGAGCTGCAGTGGCCACTTGGCCACGGCTGGCATCTCCTGTGGCTGACCACGACACTCTACCCTGAGATGTCCATCTTTGGAACCTCAGCAACAGTGGCACAGTGGAAGGTGCATGGATTTCAGCGTCATGCCTAAGCTCAACTCCCACCTCTAATCCTCACAGGCCATTGAAATGTGGTAGTGCAACTGAAGGATTGATTTTTTGTTGTTGTTTCGTTTTACAAACTTAAATAGCCACATGTGGCTAATGGCTACCATATGGGACAGCACAGGTTTAGACACTGTATTTCTGTTAAGGTAGTTTATGGCCACATTAGTTTTCCAAGTAACTATTTTATTCTGCCAATTTGCACTGTTCTCTAAATCAATTAAAATCTTAAGTCTTTCTCGTTTGTGCCTGTGCAATCAGACCTTTGTATCTAAATGTAGAAAGTTATATTCGTCCCTGCTGAGTTTCGGCTTCTTACATTTAATCTATTTATTGCTTGAGTTTTTAAGTAATATAAACAATCTTCAATGGAGATTTAAAAAAAAATCCTTACTTTGTATGTGTGTTGGTGTCTTACTGTTACCCAGACTGGAGTGCAGTGGCATACTTAGGGGCCACCACAGCCTCGACCTCCTGGGCTCAGGCGATCCTTCCACCTTAGCCTCCCAAGTAGCTGGGACTACAGGTGCATGCCATGTCCAGCTAATTTTTTAAGTTTTTGGTAGAGACAAGGTCTCGCTATGTTGCCTAGGCTGGTCTTGAACTCTTGGGCTCAAGCGATCCTCCTGCCTTGGTCTCCCAAAGTGCTGGGATTATAGGTGTGAGCCTGACTTTACTATTCTAAGCATTGGTAGCAAGTGATAAGCTATTCTGACTAGAGCTAAAAGACTTTTCTTAATGTTTCATCACTGTGCCATAATTACAAACTTATCACGGCAATCAGTCTTTTTCTCAATTTGGCATATGACAGAAGCATCTGGTGGCGGGAGAGGACAGGTGCCCAACACTTGTGGCTCTTCTCTCATCTCTAGGAACAGGCCACTGATTTTAGATAGAGACTTAAAAAGAAGACAGTGATAAGAGTCAGGAGGTTTAAGTATGAGGCTGATGCCAGGCAAGTTTTTATTATATTTAGAAAAAAAGTGTAACTGGAAATAAAGGTAAGTCATTCAACACGAATGAGAGCTCTTAAACCCCTGTAATTCTTTAATGGCAGCACTTGGCCCCGCTGTGAAGGCCAGGCTTAATCCAGCCAAGATGCTGGAAGGCAGAGCACACAGTTGTGCCCATCAAGCCAATGAGGGCGATGGACCCCAGGGCGCCTCGGCTCCGCTTGCTGGGTTCTGCAAAAGAAGAGACACCCGGGTTATTCCCTTGTGGCATCTGGGGATGGGCATTCGACAGCCTGGCCTTGGAGGTTAACCCATTCCTTAGCCCGAAGCTGTCGACAAGTCAGACACTGCCACACCAAGTCATGTGTCACAAGAGTGTTGCTTGAACCTTAGAAAATTAGGGGGTATTAATTATAGCAACTTTGCTCTGGAACCTTTGGACTTCTTTCTCTCTCTCCCTCCCTTTCTTCTCTCTCTCTCTCTCTCTCTCTCTCTCTCTCTCTCTCTCTCGTCAGGGTCTCACTCTGTCATCCAGACTGGTGTGCAGTAGCACAATCACAGCTCACCATAGCCTCAAACTCCTGAGTTCAAGCAGTTCTCCCACCTCAGTCTTCTTAACAGCTGGGACTACAGGCATGCACCACCATGCCTCAGCTATTTCTTTGTATTTTTTGTAGAGAAGAGGTCTTGAACTCCTGGGATCCTCCTGTACTGGCCTTCCAAAGTGCTGGGATTACAGGTGTGAACCACTGCATCTGCCCCTAGACCCTTAATCTTTCTAAGTCTCAGTTTCCTTATCTGTAAAATGGGATGAAATCTCCATCATAGGAATGTAATGTTAAATAGCATACACAAGGTTCTTAAAATAGCAACTGGTACACAGAATATGCTCGATAAAAATAAGTTTTGTTACTATTCAAAGATTAGTAAAAAGAAGATGATAGATTTCCCCCAAAAATCAAGCTACTTCCCCTTTTCTTAAAGCCCAAGAAGAAAAACAAAGTAGCATAACACTTAACATTCTAAATTTGTTTTCTTGGCAGATGTCAATACATACTTACCTCCTGTGTAATAGCCATAAGCGTAAAGAACTCGTCCAATAATCCAGGCCAAGCCCAAGCCAGAAACTATACGCTAAGATAAAAGGGCTGTGTTAGTGTTTGTGTGAAAGAAACAGGCAGGGCTGATTACACAATGTGTGAGCAAAAGTTAATACTGTCATGAGTTTGTTAAACTGTTGCCCACCAAAATTAGGTAAATTATGTGTTTCAATCAGGAAAATCGAAGGTCTGTGATTCTGTGTTTCTGGAAGCTGCTCCCGGGACTGGGAGATGAGCACTGGCCTTCCCCTAGATGGGGTGGGGGGAGGGTGGGGCGGGTAGGGGGGGAGATGGATGGAATCCTCAGTTGTCTCAGGCGTCTCGGGGATCTTGTGCTGAGCAAGGGAAGGACAGGTGGGCCTGGGGGACTCGGGGCAGGCCAGAAGAGGAAGTGGACCCAGACTCAGGACTAGAGGAAGAGCTCGCTTGTCTCAACTGGGCCTCTGAGCGTGAAACTGACATGCCAGCAGCTTGCGCCTTGGGTTCTCCAGTGAAGTCACCCGCCAGCTGGGCCCCAGCAGGTGGTGCTGCTGGCTGTGCCTGGGGTGGGCCCCACGGGGATGAGTGGAGGAAGGGTGTCGTGACGTGAACCCCAGTACAGGTGGTCTTGGAGGGAAAAGTCTTGAGAAGAGTAGGAAAGATGGACATCCTCCTTTCTGGGTGCCACGCTGGGTGAGCCCCTTGGTCGGAAGGAGCAGGGGTTCCAAGCAGAGAGAGTGAGGCAGCTCTGCCAGCAGCAGGGTTGTCAGTGGGGTGAGGGGCCTGCGTCGGGGTTTTCGTTTGTTTGAGTTGGTTCTGGGTAAAACTAAAGATCAAGAGGAGGATGAACCAGCGGAAAATAGAAAGCCCCCCTTCCCCCCTTCCTGTCTCTCAAGTCTCTACCACAAGTTCTAGTCTCTGCCAGGCCTTCCTTTGCAATAATGTTGCCTGATGCCCAGCAGCCCAGAACAACAGGTATGCATTGTCCTCAGACTAGTTCTTATGAGTATTTTTAAGAACTAAGCACAAGGAATGGGATCCAGGGAAGTGGGACAGGAAAGGGAGGGGGGACACCAGGTGATGCCTGATTAGAGGCCTGAGCTTCTCAGACCAGCTAGTCTGGTCACCTGCTGGGAATGGGCTCTTGAGAGGCATCGGGAACAAACACCTTCCCCAAGAAATACAAGAGCAGATGATACTTCTTTGGAAAACACACAGGCCATCAAGGTGATGAACAAGAGGCATGCCATTCCGGCAGCTCAGTAACAAAAGCACAAGGCCACTGGGGTGCAGAGAGTTATAAAAGCCCTAGAGCCAGAAGGGAGAAGGGCCAGAATTTCAGTTAGAACTCCGTGCAGGGGATAATCTGGCATTGAAAAGAGAACACTTCTGAGCAAGGAAAGAGCCAAATGGCAACTCATAGGCACAGAGAAACTTGCTCTGTTGAGATGCTTTTTTTTTTTTTTTGGTGTCAGAGTCTCACTTTGTCACCCAGGCTGGAGTGCAGTGGCATGAACACGGCTTACCACAGCCTTGACCTCCTGGGCTCAGGTGATCTTTTTGCCTCAGCCTCTGGAGTAGCTGGGACTACAGCGGCACGCCACCATGCTACTAATTTTTTTGTAGAGAGGAGACTTTGCTAAGTTGCCCAGACTGGTCTCAAACTCATGGACTCAAGCAATCTGCCCGCCTAGGCCTCCAAAAGTGCTGGGATTACAGGCATGAGCCATGGCATCAGCCTAGATACATTTAAGTGCAGGCTAAACCTGTGGCCTATGGGGCTGTCTCTACTGCAGAGGCCTACACGGCAGGGGGTCTATGCCCCCACTGCTGTCCCTCCTTTCTGCCCCTTCTCACTCTTCTGGTCACCTCACTGCTCACCAGTCAGACCAGGCGGGTGCCTTCCGCAGGCCCTGCGCTTGGTCTTCTGCCTAGACATCTGGAGACACATGTAGCACCTGCGCCCTCACCTCCTTGGAGTTTTGCTAACTGTCACTGTTTCAACAAAGACCTCCTCCCTGGCCCCCTGTTGAAATTGTCCCCACTCCATATTTCCTTCTACCTTCTGTGCTTTGTTTTCTTCTGTGAATGTGCCACCTCCTATCCCACTCTGTGATTTACTGATGTTGCTTCTTGTCTGTGACCCCAACTAAAAGGTAAACTCTGTGAAACCAGGTGTCTATTTTGTTCACCACTGTAGCCTTAGATGGTGAGTACATGTTGGTGTGTGAATGAGTGGCTATGGGAAGCGAAAATGCTTCTGGACACGAAACTCTTGAGAGTCAGACAGACCTGAGTTCAAATTCTGATTCTTCTATTCTGTAGCTATCTGATCTTGTGAAGGTTAAATAGTATCCAAGAGGCTTTCCTTGTCTGAAAAAGTGAGGAAAAATCCCACCAACTTTAAAGAACTTTGTAAGAAATAACGAAATAAAATCCTTTTAAATCCGTGAGGCCTAGACACTGAAGGTGTTCATTAAATGTTTTATTCCTTCTTCCCTACCTGCTCATAGCTTAGTAAACGAACCCAAACAGATGAACACTTCCTGGAAAGACTTACCGGGTGGTACACGCCTCCAACAGCTAGAAAAAATAAGAAGGGAGGATATACCTCCAACCTGGAACAGACAGAAAGAAACTTTAAAAAAGTTCCCCGCTTAAGTCGCCTTTGTAGAACTCAAAGTCCTTTCCATACTTACTTGCCAAGTTGTAAACTTGGAAGTAAAAATAAACATTGACTGGAGGGAGATCTGGTCACTAATACCCACATGCTTTTTGCTCAGCTTGAGATTAGAGGTCACTCAGAAGATGCTGACCACACATCTAGAAAACTGGAGAGGGATGTCTTGGTGAGTTAGAGAGGGTTTCCTTGTGGAACATAAAACTTCTTCCTCCCTAGGGCTGGGAGATTCAACATTAGATGGGACATACTACAAATGCTGTAAAGGTAATGCCACAATAAAGACATTTTTGAAAAGATTATTCAGCAATCCCACCATTCTAATAACTCTTGTGTCTGCTTAATATTCAATCTGATCACATATATAATTCTGTCATGATACTTTTGATTGTCATCATCACTGTGACTCAACAAATACAGAGCGCTAAGGGCTGAGGAGTGGGACAGAAAACTCCCGCTCTGCAGATGTCTTTGGTGGCCAGCAGGGCCGACACTCACGTGTTCTGGTGGGCTCGCTGAATGCAGTTGAAGAGGTGCCCGTTTTCAGGGTCTGTGCTGTACATGGTAGGATACTGTTAAAACAAAGGCCGTGTTGATCAAATGGTCAAGAGTGGCATTCAGTGCTGAGAGTAAAAATCAACATTCAACATAATACACCCCAAAGCATCTCCTGTCATAACCTTGTTAAATGATTAATCGATTTCTGCTTAAATATTTACAATGACAAGGGTCTCAATCCTCAAAAGCAGATTCAATGTTTCTGTTAAATATCTAGTAGTGGCTGGGTGTGGTGGCTCATACCTGTATCCCAGCACTTGGTAGGATGAGGCGGGAGGATGACTTGAGCCCAGGAGTTTGAGACCAGCCTGGGCAACATAGTGAGACTTCATCTCTACAAAAAAAAATTTTAAAAATTAGCTGGGCACGTTTGGCACACACCTGTAGTCCCAGCTGATTGAGAGGCTGAGGTGGAAGGTCTGCCTGAGCCCAAGGAGGTCAAGGCTGTAGTGAGCTGTGATTTTGTCACTGCATTCCAGCCTGGGTGACAGAGTGAGACCCTAACTCAAAAAAACAAAAACAAAACAAAAAAACCAGTAGTGAGAATGTACGTCTGTGTTGTAGTTGCATAGGCTGTGCCAAACTCAGTGCTTTTCATTGATGTTATGCATCAGTGGCAGAGTTCAGATGCATTACAAAGATGCCATAGGGAAACAGCCTTCCCAAGAGGCATTCAATACCACATCCTTTTAAGATTTCCCTTATTGGATGAACAGAAATTACATGTAAGAATTTTAATGGAAGCATCCATTAGAAAGAAAAAAAAAGAAGCTAGATATGAAAACTTAAAATAAGGTCTCGTAATGGGAGCCTAATTACAAGTTGCTAAGCAGAAATAAGCATTTAAAATTGCTCACGAGGGACGACTTAATAATTATCACTTCTAGATCAGCTAGGACTAAAGGAAGTATTTAATGAACCACCTTCCTATGTCTTATGTCTAAGTCCAGGCTAACCTCAGCACCCCACATTTCTTTTCCATTTGGAAAACAAAGAAATCATCTAAGATATCATCTTTAAAGTGGCACACCAGGAAATGATGTTGCCATTTAATCCTCTGTAGCATACACGGTGACACTCTTCCTAGCAAATAGCTCCAGTCGAAAGCATACTGTGCTAATCACAGCATAGCTGGTGTTTCTACAGAAGAGACAAAGTCAGACAAGATGGGAACCACTCCTCAGCAGGTCCCAGATTTCTTGCCTCTCTCCTGCCCCAAACGAGCAGAACTGCTAATAGACACAGTCACGAAGCCGCTTCCCACCACCAGTTCCTCGCTTCTCCCTCCATACCTGAAAAGTTTTTGGACACGTCTACGACAGCCACGGCTTGTGTCTCCACTTACCTCCACCTTGTACTTCCTGCGGGCCTTGGAAACATTGATGGCCAGATGAGCCACCATGACAAAGCTGGCAGCACCAGTTAGAAGCACGAAACCGTATTCCTTAGAGAGGACGGCCATCTTGACTCTGGAAGAAAGAATACCACATTGAGACAGGTCCCACATGATGGCCATCAATCAGCATAAGGCCTGGGGACAAATGCATCCACACAGGTCAAAAAGCGATGTGGGTCAGTTCATTTCTAAGAGGTCATCAGAGATATTACCATATATAACAGAAGACACACAGAAAAGTGCACACTCATAGCATATTTTCTCTTTTGTGCCTGGGTTATCTTGATCAACATTATATTTATGAGATTTACTGATACCGCTACAGAAGTCACTGCTGTTGAATGATATAGCTGCCAAAAATCACATTTTTGAAAAAAGGATTTAACATCATCACAAACATGGAACAAACATGTTACATTAACATTAAATGACATGGAGGGAGAGAGGGAAGGAGGTGAGGGGGAGATGGGAGGTGGGAAAGAAGCAGGATCTGACACAGGATGTACACAGTGATGGCCAGGGCACGCTGTGAGGGCAGGGACCGTGAGGCCTTCCCTTGATCCCTGGGCATGTGCTAGTACAGCAGCGGGATCTCACGGACGGAAAGGCCCAGCTCAAGTACCCGAAAGGTAGAGCCTGGCCCCTGAGCCCAGGACGTGTTAGGTGGCTCCTGGGAACCCAGGGTGCCTGTCAAATCATCGCTTCAAAACTAGTCCCCCATAGTGTTCTGATATCCGTAACTTTTTTATTTATTTATTTTTTGAGTTGGAGTCTCACTCCGTCGCCCAGACTGGAGTGCAGTGGCCGCTCCCGGCCACTGCAGCCTCGACCTGCTGGGGTCCGGCCATCCTTCTGCCGCAGCCTTCCGAGTAGCTGGAACTACCGGCGCGCGCTACCATGCCCAGCTAATTTTCGATTTATTGTGGAGAGGAGGGCTCGCCAAGTTGCCCCGGCAGGTCTCGAACCTGCGGGCTCAGGCAATCCACTCACCTCAGCCTCCCAAAGTGCTGGGATTACAGGCTGAGCCACGGAGCCCGGCCTCTGTAGCTTATTTAAAACAAGGGTCTCATTCTGTCGCCCAGGCGAAGAGGTCTTGCTATGTTGCCTAGGCTGATTTTGAACTCCTGGACTCAAGTAATCCTCCCGTTTTGGCCTCCCAAAGTGCTGAGATTACAGGCGTGAGTCACTGTACCTGGCCCTGCAACTTATTTTTAAATGCACCCTCAAAAATGATGACATAGATCAATATAGCAAAATGTTAATTACAGATTCTAGGTGGTAGCTATACAGATGTTCAATGTACAAGTCTTTCCACTTTTCTGTGTTTGAAAATTTTTGTAATAAAATGTTTGGAGTACAAAATAATCCTAGCTCATTTTCCAGTGCTCAGCACTTCCAACTATCAAAGTGACTGTCCTGCCCCCAGGGAGAAGAGGAGGGGAGGAAGGAAGGGCACTGGGCATCAGGGAGAACAAAACCCAGCAGGCGGAAGGGAGGCCTGATGATCTCACGGTGATCAGTGCTACCCCTCTGACCTCCTTAAACTTTGACCCCCAGGTGGAAGAAGGCTTAGAGGATGGCAGGACCTGGAGGAGCAGCTGCTGTGCTTCCAAGAGATCTCTCATGATTGCCGGTCTGTGCAAGGTCGCTGCCAGCCAGTGTGTTCTGCGGTCAGCCTTAACACACCCACCCTTGACAACTGTCGGCTTCAATCTCTCCTGTAAACTAGGCGGCCTGCCCTGCTCCAAAACATCTAGTCATCTTTACGAAGCAACCACGGGGTGGTAACATCTCCGTCTTCCAAAGAGTGCCCAGAGGCTACGGAGTGCTCCCGGGGCCTAAAACAGAAAGCAGCAGAGCTGGGCTTCACTTGATTCCCACATCCCCTTTCAGTCCTCCTTGAAAATTTAGAGCTGAACTGACACTGGGGTCAGAGCACCTTTCTTAAATTGGGAGTTGAGGTGGGCACACGCCTCTGTTCTCTAAAAGTTTCCCTTAGCTCAGAAAATTGACATTTGGAGCCTAAACCCTGAAGATTTCCCCCTCTCCCCATGGTTCACAGTCATTTGGATCAGTTTCCCCTTCCTTGTTCACCCTGGGCTGCACTCTGGGATGTGCCCACTGCCCCACCCCCAAGGAGTGGGGACACAGACACTGAAGAGGGCTGGCCCATGACTCCTGATGCACACAGGGCCTGCAGCTCCTGCCTGGCTGCACGGCCGGAGAGCAAGGTCCCCTGCCTCATCCTCCTCCCAGGTTTAGAAAGTGTGAGAAGGAAGCTGCAACAGCTAGAAAAGCAAAAAACAGTGTGGAGCTCCTTGAAAATAAATAAAAACGACTGAGCCTTCAGCCTGTCCTTGAAGTTTGGGACAAACAGGCTGTTTAAAACGAAGCTGCCTGTCTCAGGACAATGCAAGCAAGCATATTCGCTCTAGGTCAAAGTTTGCAAGCCAGGAGAGTCAGCTTCAGACCCTCACCTTTGGACAGGATGCCGCTCCTGGTGGCGTGGGGGTTCCTTGTATTGGTGCAGCACTTTTCAGCTTGTTTTGATCTCCACAAAAGTCCCGCTGGCTCTATTTTACCACAAGGAAATGCAGGCTCAGGTGGATGAGGGCAGAGCGAAGGTCAGAGAGGTGCCCGAATTCATCCCCAAACACTCCAGCCAGCCCAGGGAAGACAGTGGGATTTGGTGGCCTCATGGTTGGCCTGTTTTCTGATTTGTAAGGGGGTGGGCAGGGAGGTGTCAAGACAAAGAAGGGCCTTTTGAGTAGATGTCTCATCTCTGTCACAGGCAGAAAACATTCAGGAATCACTGTGCTACAATCTACACTCAGAACCTACAATCAGAAACTAATATGCTCAGGTACTCCTGAGCACCTCTTTTAAAGCATGAATGCACCTGGGGAGGTATCACACCTTAGTGACATTACTCTCCCCCCACTCTATGGAGGTGATAGATACTGAGCCTGAATCTGGGTGGAGCCAGCAGAGCCAGGAGTAAGAAGTCCTTTTGAAGGGTAAATTCACAGTAAGGGGGACCCAGAGTCTGATGCCAGAGTAATGGTTTGCAAAGGACACACAATCAGTCATGGAGTGGGGAAGGCGGGTACCGTGCAGCAGGGGCTTGTCCTCCCTGATGCCCACCCCCCAGAGCCATGGGCACACCCTCACAGGTACAGAAGCAACAATAGGAAAGCTGCTCTGAGAGGGGCCGAAAGGCCTCCTGACACCTCACACTCCCCTCAAGTAAGAAGGTCACTTCACATGCAGTGATAGTCTGCACGGACAACAGGGCAGCCAGCAATGACAGCCACTAAGCTTCCATGAGGAAGGAACACTGTCTGGTATCTTCCATGTCAAGCATAGTGTGCATGCTCATAGGTGCTTGTGGAGTAAATGATTTGAGTTGCAACTCCAGGTGACCTTCAGAAATGACCCCCGCCGCTGCACACACACCTGACACAGTATCCATCATTGGGCACAGTGTCTGGTACGAAGTATGCACCTGACCAACTTAAGCCTCCTTTTCTTCTCTCAAAAGTACCTATCTACTGAAACCATGGAAAAAACTGGATGCATAAACTGCTCAAGAAAGAGAAATTCAGGACACAGAGAAGCACTCTGTCATCACAGCTGCTGAAACATAAATCCAGCATGGAGTGAAAAATGGTTATGGCTTGTCCTTTAAGGAAAGAATCGGCTGAGCTCAATGAAGGTTCCAAACAACAAAAAAACACAACTCTGCTAACTCCTTCTCTCCTGAGGACTCCAAGGCTGAGCGATGGGTGTTCCCACCCCTTAGAGGGTGGCCTTTGCACGTGTGGGTGTGTACCAGGCAGGGGACGCAGCTCAGTGCCCGGTGGCCACAGCCCCAGCAGCTGCAGTCACGCCCTGGTTGTAAGGGCCCCAGAGGTGGCAGATAGCTTCCAGAAACAAGCTGGGGGAACTGATAGCTGGCACACGCCCTCTCTCTGGCAGGAGCATGCATTTGAACTGTGCACCACATTTCATTGATTATATACCTGCTCTGTGTCACCACAGGTCCTTTTATGGACCCAACAAGATAAGAGTCTTGAGGGTGGGAACTCTGCTCTTGACTTTGTCTTCTACACAGCACTTGATGTACAACATAGTACAACAGTCCTTCCTGGGCTGAACTTTCAGTACAGGTGTGGATTACCTTGCAATTCATTTGGTTATATCACAGAATTTGCTAATCTCATGCAGTTTTCTGGGTTATTTAAGACCAGGCATATACATTAACATTTATGAGTTGAAATTCTCCATCATATACAGTCCGGCGCCGCATAATAACGTTTCAGTCACTGAAGTACTGATTGCATATCCATGGGTGGCCCCATAAGATTACAATGGAGTTGAGAATTCCTATTGCCTGGTGCATGGTGGCTACCCATGCCATTGTTTTTATCTATCTATCTATCTATCTGTCTATCTATTTATTTGAGTTGGTGTCTTACTCTTGTCACCCAGGGTGCAGTGGCATGCTCCCAGCCACCGCAACCGCAACCTGCTGGGCTCCAGCGATCCTTCCGCCTCAACCTTCCAAGTAGCTGGAACTACAGGCATGTGCCACCATGCCTGGCTAATTTTTTGATTTATTGTAGAGATGAGGTCTCACCGAGTTGCCCAGGCTGGTCTTGAACCTGTGATCTCAGGCAATCCTCTCGCCTCAGCCTCCCAAAGTGCTGGGATTACAGGCTGAGCCATCGCGCCTGGCTCACCCATGTCTTTGTAACATCGTAGTACAATGCATTACTCACATGTTTGTGGTGATGCTGGTGTAAATGAAGTCTAGCACATACACTTAGCTACAATACTTAATGTGGGATAATGATAATAAACAACTATGTAACTGGTTTATGCACTTGACATACTTTTTATCATTACTTTAGAGTGTACTCCTTCCATTAATATATTAAAAGGAATTAACTGTAAGACAGCTTCAAGCAGGTCCTTTAGGAGGTATTCCAGAAGAAGGTACTGCTATCATGGGAGACGACTGCTCCATGAGTGGTATTGCCTCTGAAGATCTTCCAGTGGGACAAGATGTGC